CCATCATAAGTGATTCGACCACTTCATACCAATCTCCATGTTGGGAATAGCAGCTAATCCAATTAGATTTGTCAGTAACTTCTGAGGTGATTTAAAAAGACACTTCTTCTCCAGGAGAGCTTTAGGAGGTTTTTGGATTCAACCTTTTTACATCAGAAACAAAAGTTGAAGGCCAAGAAGACATAAAAAGATTTTATGAAGTGAGAAACAAAATCTTCATGTAGACGGATGATGTGGTCTTTAAAATATACTTGTAAGCAAAACTTGTGGCTTGAAACCAGCTACTATTTATGTGTTTAACAGAAACAGCTAAAGTGACTGACAGTACACTGTAAAAAATGTAATGTTGGATTTACTTAACCATGTTATGTTACCTGGTTCCACTTAACTGAGTTGAGTAAATTCAAAGCAATATACCAGTTTTTTTTTAGCCAAAGAACATGAGTATGTTGCTTTGAATTTACTCAACTCAGTTAAGTGGAACCAGGTTAACATAACATGGTTAAGTAAATCCAACATTACATTTTTTACAGTGTGGGTCAAATCTAAACTTACAGGCCCAAAAGAGGTGTTTAAAAATCTACTTGTGTAAGYTGAGCTCCTTTTTTTAAGGGTCTTCACCTCTCAGCTGGATCTTTGATATTTATTCCTGACAGCTCGTTCTCTTCACACAAATATTTCCACCTAAAGATATTTTCGGGGATTTGATAATTGTCATGTATTAAAGGTCACGGTGGTTTTAAATTTAGCTGAATACTTTGTTTACAACGAGTGCGGACCCACCTTTTAGAATTGCATTTAATATATCTGGAAGATAAATATGTCAACTCCTTAAACTGTACTTATAGTTGACACACTGCGCCAGGTGCGAGGGGGCGTGTGCCAATAGTGACGCAATCACGCCATCCCCGCCCCTGCATGTTGGCTCTGTGGTATCCCGRCGAGTGGTCATGCACCTCCAAATTTTTTTTAACTCTGTAAAGGCTGCATGCGCTGCGCACCAAGCTTTTGCTCCTCTGTCAAAAAGTTACAAAGTGTACTGCCACATGTTCTTTTGGAGAATACTACAACAACATAACGTCAAGTATAAACACCTACACTGCTGGGGAGGGCATGCACACACCCTGCACTAGTATCACTGTAAACCCTAATAAGTTCACAGAACTCAAAACTTATTTTAAAATATTTTAGTGATGTTTTTAAATGTTTTCATTTTACATAAAATAAAAATTACATGTGCAGTTGCCTTAAAATATCTTGTTATCTTAAAAATATTAATTTTTCTCAACTTGTGATTAGGGAGCAGTTCACTCAAAATTTTCAATATTTTCAACTCATAACAGTGCACATGCATCAAGTACAATATTGTAGTATGACACCTCACAGCTACAGAGAGAGGTTTAGCTCTTTTTTGTAGTTCAAGACTTCACCACCAGGTGGCAGTTTTGAAGAACCTTTATTGGATTCTTCTTCACGAACAACACAGACAAAGTGAAACTCACAGGTCTTATTAATGATTAGGTCTACCACTCTCACTTATGGTTACTTCTGCTGAACGGTTTAACACAAGTTAACAAATAATGAACACACAAATTAGGGTAACACAACAGACTAATTGCTGAAAGAACAATGTTAACCAATTCCCTAAAATGATTCAACAACAACAAACATGAATCCTACCCACAATSCTCCACTGCAGTCACATGACAAACAGCCAAACACAACAGAATGCTACAATATGCATTCCCTGTTCCCTGACAACTAAATATCACCTACATTATGCCATCAAACTATTGCACATCAACAAATATATTCAAGCAAAAGAAATGAGACAAGTTGTGTTTTTTTTTCGACCATGTCTTGTCCTCTCCTTGAAAAGTGAAGCAAGGGAATGAGGAGCAGCAGCCTTTGTGTGCGCACGTGCCCTCAGTTTTAGCCTAGAAGAGTAGAAGTTATTTAATATATTCATGTTTATGTGCTGTCCAGACAAAGCACTTAAATATTACTGGTAAAATAATATTAGCATTTACTTTTTTGTACAGTACTATTGATACAGTATATGAATATAATGCATATTGTTTATTTAGTAAATTCTAGTAGTTTAGAGATTTTGATATTTTTTTGTAAAATTTAAAAAGAATAATTAAATGTTACCACACCCAAAAGTTTGTTTTTTTCAGTGCAGGCTGGCCAAAACTTCTCCGCATCAAGGCAAATTCAAGATGTCTGCCTCATCTTACCTGAGGGAGAGATAAGACCCACCCACCAGAACATCATGACGTTGATAACGTCATGACTTTACTGTATGGTTCCTAAACCTTTTGAGCRTTCCRCACAAATTAGCKATAAAATATTGAGCCCTWTTCGGTTAAAGTGGCATAAATCTCAACAGAGCTCAAAACTTTATAGTTTGGTCAACTCCAYAATGACATTTGACTGTTRTGACCTTATTAGTTWTGAGCTAGTRCAACTGTTTGGGATTACAGTGYACCCAAAGTGCGACTATAACTCRGCTTTTAGGCAGCATGGCCCATGGTGTCCAGCAAGAAGGTCACAGGTTTGCYTCATGCCTTTCCATGTGAAGTTTGCATGTTCCCCACATGCATGGACTCTCTTAGAGTTCTCAAGTTTCTTTGCAGTCCAAAAGCATACCTCTTGTGTTAACTGGTAACTCTAAACTGTTACCAGCTATAAGAGCGGCCCAGCCCTAGTCAGCCTGGCCTTATTCTACACCGGCCCTGGCTGTGTTGGCACTGAGCAGAGAGCAGCCTCCATGTGGGCAGGTAAATGTGTGGATCTTATTTTATTTGYGACGCAACAATAATGGTCTATACACCAAAGTCAAACTRTACCAGACCATCCAGCATGACGCTAAAGAAGAGGGGGCAGAACGACATAACGGTAAGCTAATGGCAGCCAWTGTTAGCTTGTTGTTGCTTGATAGCTGGCTACTGTTGTCGTAACAGTCGCTGCAAACTAATCACGTAAAATTTATTRTATTAAACCAGAAATTCGGGTGGAACAAAGCCATAAGTGCTAATGCAAACAAGCTGAAYCCAGGTTTAAAGTCAARCCTGAGTTTGCAMATCAGATTTCTACCTTAAAGGAAGGCCTTACGTGATCCTCACATAAGGCCTGGTGTACCCTACATCTCACACAATGACTGCTGGAGATAAACCCCAAAACAAATAAGCAGGTAAATAAAAAGGATGGATTGATTTTATACTTTGCAGTGAGAAACTTTAAAAAGAATGCATCAGCTAGCAGTAACKGACTACCTGCACCTGTAAAAACACACCATCTGACAAGCTTTACAACCAACGCCACTGCTCCAAATCCCCTGACTTACTAATAGCCGCTGGTGCCCAAATCTGGTTCCACCACCTAAGCCTCCATCTACCTGTCTAGCAGTTTGTGTGTCATGCCAGTGTGAGCCTCAGCCCAACGTGCCTGTCCGCCTGCCCGCCGACGACCCACAATCCTCTGCTTTGAATTCAAGGTGATTCTTATCCCCGACCCCCTCCTGGCCCGGTGCGTTTGCCTCTTGCCTCCATAAAGACGTGTTTATATATGTATGTATGTGCAGAGAGGAACACGTGGAGGTGTTTTTTTTTTCAAGGGTTGGGGGGGTGGGTGGGTGGGGGGGAGATAAGCAGAGGAATTTGAGGCCAGTGAATATGGATGGGGTCCCTGCTTTCAGAGAGCGCTGCTGATAGAGAGGTAAACAGCTCCTGGCCACGAGAAGGAAGAAGTGGTGGGAGGTGGAGGGATGTGGTGGATACAGGCACTGGCATACATTTGACCCCCCCTTCCATATACACGTTTGATCTTTGAGGACTATCTGTCATTACTTCTCTGTCAACCTTTTGCTCTTGTGGATTTGAGTGGCGAGATTCTGTTATTAATGCACAAAAGTTGTGGGTTTGCAAATCTGATTTCTGGCTCAGAACTTTTCCGTTTCGGTCTGCGAAAGCTGCGTTTTTTTGGGAACAGGAAAAACAGTGATGTTATTTTTCAGAGGTTACCCCCCTGATGGCAGTGATCAGTGCTTCCTCCACTCTGCCTTTCAACACTTCCAAACTCTAAATGTCTTCTGTTTCCACCTAATGACGGCATCYGATCACCTTTTGTCTTCCTCCCTTTCTCTGCCTTCTTTTTCTCCTGACAGATCTTGTGACGCTGAGGCGATTGCCAACATGAAGATCCCAACCAGACACTGCCGGAGTGAGCCACCGTGTCTCATAAGCTCAGTGTGTGTGTATGTGTGCAGGTGTGTAAATGCATACATTTTGTCCACTTCGCTTGTTCCATTCAAGCTTTTCGCTTCATGTCTAGCCTCTCGACTAGATTTTTTTATGGTCTCCAGTGTGTGAGTGCATGTTTTATTTATTCAGCTGTGAAAAATACATGTTCAGTTAGGCTTATTTAAGTTGAAAAAAGCTGTTAACAAAACCTTACCTTGTGCCTAACATTTTAAAAAGGTAGTGCAGATAGTGTGCAATACAACTGAGCGTCTCACTGGGAGTAGAAAGCGATCCAAACCACAAAAGTTTTAGAAACCTTCAAGCAAATGCTCCCGGTTTGTTTTCTCATAGTTAAACAATTAAACTGTAACTAAAGTTTACTTTATTTGAGGAGGGACATCATTTTTTTTTTCAAGCAGAGAGTTATTCCACATCCTCCTAGACCCCCGACTTTCCTTTGAGGCAACTGTTTAGTTTTATCCCACTTGATTGCTCTCTTGGCCACAACACAACACCAGCTTCCCCTTTTCCACACACACATACCAGACACACACACACTCAGGAGAACTTCCACACTAAGGCCCCACCGCAAAGTTATTAATGAGCTGTTTAATTTTAATTAGATAGTAATTCATGTTAATGCCTGCTTAATGGAGCCAAATAATTCCCCTCGGTCACTCGGGGTCTTTATGCTTCGTTTACCAGCCCCTGCAGTTATTCTCTGGCTTTTGTTTTTATATTTTCCAAGTCTTTTTTTTTGCTTCTTTTTTTTCACAGGCCCTGAGTGAACGATGAACAGTAAAAGCTGGAAACATATGGGGTGAGTGTGTGTGTGTGTGTTCTGACAGTGAAAACCAGCACCCATGTGTTTCTGTTCCATTTTACTTAAGGGGGCAGAGTCGTGTCTGTGTGCAGGCACAACCCCACAATCCACTACAGTAAATGCTTCACGTCAAACCAGAGAAAAGGTCAAATCCAGTATCGAACACTAAAAAGGGTTAAACCCTCAGGTTGAAGTGCAGCTACCAGGAGAGGTTGTGACCTTTTTGTCCAGGTCTCCAAGTAAATCACTTCAGTCTCTTGTCCCATGTGCTTCCACTATCCCTCTCCTTTATTTGAGACAAGCTGCCAGAGGTTCAAACATCAGTGAGGCTGTGTTAGAGTGACCACACACCAGCTCGTACCATGAACTGTGTGTGTGTGTGTGTGTGTGTGTGTGAGGAGTGTCTCGGTTCTGTCTGGGAGCCTCCGCTTTAACACAGCACTGAACCGAGTGGCTGAATTGAGTTAGTGGCTACAGACAGGCTTTTAATTGTTGATTGACCAGTCTGAGTGCTTCCTGGTCTGGGGTCATTGTGGAGAGCAGACACTGAGGTCCCAAGGCCCCAGCAGCAATTTTAGCTCCATACACTGAAGAGATGTGGACAGAGGAAAAGAAATGGAATAATAAAAAAAAGAGGATAGTTAGGACATGACGAGGAGGGTGAAAACAAGTTAAAAGATGCTGGGAAGTAAAAGAAAAAAAAATGTAGTGTTTTATTATTCTGGCCTAAAGCTTTTAGCTTGTAGTGTCCGAGTCGCAGCGTGAGCTTTGAGGTCCGCCGATTTGTAAATTCAGTGT